ATTGTTATGGATAATGTAGTCATTAGTTTGTACTATTGTCTATAACTAGTTTGTGGTATTGTTATGGATAATGTAGTCATTAGTTTGTACTATTGTCTATAACTAGTTTCTGATATTGTTCTTAGTTTCTTTCTTTCATTGTTTATAACCACAGTTTGCCATTATGTTCATTTCTAGTTTGTTACCTTGTTCAGAACTAGTCTGATGTCAGTAAAAGAAACAAAGTTACGCCTTGAATATAAAACTCGATAACAATTCTGATTTATTCACGAGCTCTGTTAATTTTCTTGTCGATAAATTTACAAGCATTGTTAACTCTCATTTCTGAAAAAATGTTTCATATTCCGGACCAATTGACGTGTCGATATATTAATAAGGTTTTGCTTGAAACAATTTGAGTTTGAAAACTGCTTTGCAATGAATTTGTTATCACGGAATGATTTTTATATTTCTTAGCAGAGAACGGTTTACTGACGACCGAGGACTTCATCATCGGGGATCGAGTATGGGTGAACGGCACAAGGCCTGGATACATCCAGTACATCGGAGAAACGCAGTTCTCCCAGGGAGACTGGGCAGGCGTGGTGCTGGACGATCCAATAGGAAAGCACGACGGTTGTGTCGGAGGTGTTCGATACTTCCAGTGTGATCCCACGAAAGGAATCTTTATCCGTCCCTATAAACTCACTCGCTTCCCGACGTCCCCAAGCACTAACGGTTGCAAAAAAAACAAGTCCGCCTCTCCTGAAATGAAAGTGACCAAATCCCGTGTAGTCACTCCCCCTGGGAAACGAGGATCTTCCGGTAATTGTTCAATTACCACTACCACCGCCACTAGCGGTGGTAACGGATTTCTGAGGATCGGTGACCGGGTTGTTGTCAACTCTCTGAACGGAACCAAGACGGGCACCTTGCGTTATCTTGGTAGCACTGATTTCGCTAGTGGACAGTGGGCTGGGGTGGAACTAGATGAGCCCACAGGACGGAACGATGGATCCGTGGCAGGAAAACGGTAGGTTACCCTTTTATTCTAACATGGAGATGCCATGGCAGAATGACTGGTTCTGTCCACATTCTTCAGTTCTCACTTTTAATATAAAAGCTTCAGTTTGAATTTATTCACTGTTGTTCCCACATAAATTCTACTCAGATCTTTCAGTTTGAGTTTCTTCGCTATTCTTCCCACAGACGTTTTACTCTTTTCAAATGGCGAGTAGTTACCGGAAGGAAAATGTTAGTTTAAAACAAATAAAATCATTTGAAATTATTTCGAAAACTGAACTTTATACAAGTATGTGTTTCCCAACAACTTTAGCTTTAAATATGGAAAGAAAATGTAGATTTAATCGCGCACAGACGTTATGGAAAAGAAACCTCCATTATCATGAAACGACTTTAATACTACAAGCTTCCTTCCCTATTAGGAGAAGTTTTCCCCCAAGTCGGATTGTTTCCTTATAGGGAATATCTGCAACAAATACTTCATTTAAGAGCTTAATCCTTATCACACGGCATGGCCAAGGTCAGAAGGGTGGAGTACCCGTTCTCTCCCTTTCCCCACCCACTTCGTGACGTGTAGACAAGGCCTAGAATTCTTAAACCACTGCTGCTGTTTATCAAGTAGATTTTGTTTCCTACTAACACCCAAAACATGGCCATACTTCTTTCCAAGTCGACACCCGAAAAATGATAGTTCCTACATCTTATATTTGAGCGTTGTGTAGAATATTAAACCACGTTTTGTAAATGCATTTAATTAAAAAGTCGGATAGAAATCTACGAGCGCCACCTGTTGGCATTTAATCAATCAACTGACATAGTTAATATATTTCCATGACTCATTTATATAAATACCACATAACAAATGAATTCCATTGAAAGATATTTTCCAACACATTGTGCCCATGTACTATTTAGACCAAGTTATGTTAATGTATTCAATTGATTAAATAAGAAAAAAACACACAAAAAAATACGAACTAAGTAATTGACTAATTGTATGACACATCTATATAGATACAAACGATACATGAAATTACTACTATGGAAACATATGAATTTTACGTCACCTGTAGGATAAACACCAACACTCTTAAAGTGGCCCATGTAAGTAAGCAAAATATCGCCTACTCACAGGACACTAATGGAACTGAGTGGTACTAGATAAAATGACGTCTTCCGTGACCCAGAGTACCCGGATCTCTGCAGTCTTTAGAGGCCTTCACTTTGCGTGACTAATAGTTCGGTATATTGTTCTCGGAATAAACTACTTTAATAAAGGCCGAACGTGAATGACATGTTAGTCTCGAACTATGTGACTGGGAAATAACCACATTGTATGTTCTTCGTATGGGGCTTTTGACTATATATGGTTTGATTCAAAGGAACTGTATATTGCTAAATGTTTTTTGTCCAATTGTTACATACTAGTTAAAACAAGTGGATAACAGTCATTCTGTTATTGACTAGTTATAGCATTCAGTGGATAACAGTCAGTCTGTTATTGACTAGTTATAGCATTCAGTGGATAACAGTCGGTCTGTTATTCACTTGTTATAGCATTCAGCGGATAACAGTCGGTCTGTTATTCACTGTTATAGCATTCAGTGGATAACAGTCAGTCTGTTATTGACTAGTTATAGCATTCAGTGGATAACAGTCGGTCTGTTATTCACTTGTTATAGCATTCAGCAGATAACAGTCGGTCTGTTATTCACTTGTTATAGCATTCAGCGGTCAACAGTCGGTCTGTTATTCACTGCTTATAACATTCAGCGGATAACAGTCGGTCTGTTATTGATTAGTTATAGCATTCAGTGGATAACAGTCGGTCTGTTATTCACTTGTTATAGCATTCAGCGGATAACAGTCGGTCTGTTATTGACTAGTTATAGCATTCAGCGGATAACAGTCGGTCTGTTATTCACTTCTTATAACATTCAGTGGATAACAGTCGGTCTGTTATTCACTTGTTGTAACATTCAGTGGATAGCAGTCTCTAAGACGTTAATTATTGTTGTAAGATATATTTTCAATGTTGTAGTAATTTATATGTCAGACAGACATAACTTTAACATCGAAATGTTCATTAAAAGTAGGCCTAGAATTCCTGGAATGTTTTGGATGACGTCTCTCAAATAAAGTAAGATTGACAAAAGCCTGGAGTTGTGATACATCACATATAAATACGAGTGGGCCACTCACTTAAAAATTTAGTAGTGAATGAATACTGATTAATGAGTTTTTTGTTTTGTTTTTCTGGCAATAGTGCTATTCATGCATTTCAATGAAGTATTAGTTTCAAAGCAGCATTTGGATCATTGCTAGTCGTCGCTTATATTCAGTTAATTAATCGATTAAACTTGAAATTGTACAAATAAGTTTATTTTTACCTTAGTCCTAGTACAAACTTACAAAAAACGTTAAGGAAGAAGTAAACTAATGTGTCGTTGTGTGGACTAGGCTTCATATTATTATTACCAAATAATATAAAAGAACCCGTCTAACGAAAGAACAAGGTTACGACATTAAAATACTCGGTGGATGGCAATCTGTAACACGCTTGTTACCACATCCAGTGGGTAGCAGCCATTACACTTATTGTAATAACTAGTGGATATTAATTTGATGATCTTTGTGGAGTTATCCTGCATAAAATGCTAATATTAATGCACAACGAAAAAACACGTGTTATAGACGTACACTCTATGCTCAAAACCTGGTGTTTCAATCAGATAAGTAATGTTTGTGTGATTTTCCTTTCATATTTTCTGTTTTCTTGATACTGCTATGTATGCTGGAACTAAAACTACACATTGACTACAGCATGCAATCGGTACTTTTCTTGAAGAAACGCGGAAACGTAAGAGACTTTAGCCTTGATAATTTGTTCAGACATGGTTTTATGCTAATATCTGCGAAGCGCGTCATTTATCTTAATTTAGTACATGTGTACCGTTCACAAATAACACTATATTATAGACGTTTGTATAAGAAATGGGTGTTTTAAGATAAGGCCTAATCACAGGAAACAATCTATAATAGTTACATCATGCTGAAGTTGAAAAAACAGCTAACACTCCTAATAGAGCAATATTCATCTGGAACCTTCAATCTACGTCAATGTTTGACGTCATCAGTTACTATTCTGCGGTCAATTACAATTTTTCAACATAATGTATGATGAGAAAGGAAATATAGCAGTGGCTGTTGTCGACATTATCTGTGTCACACGCTTAACGCTCTAACCCTAAAATTATGATAAAAGTAAAGGTAACAAACCTCAACGACACCTGAAAAATGGCGAACAAAATTAATCGAAACGATGTGAATAAAGGTGAACGAAACAAATTAAACCAACACCTGGTAAATATGAACAAAAATGACAGTAAAAATAACAGGTAAATATCGACGAACAAAACCGGAAAGACAACAGATTAAAGTGAACGAAACCGAAAAAAAAAGACAACAATAAAAGTAGGCAAAATAAAATAAACTGTTCAGACATCTGAAAATGTCTATATGTTAGAACAAAGTTAGGCTTATGACGTTGGTTAGCAAGGAGTAAACCTGTTTCGCGTAGAAACAGGTAATCGCTATGACAAATATAGATAGGTTGCAATATTATTGTTATCTAGCTGGAGCGACCCGGCATGGCCAGGTGGTTATGGAGTTCGACTCGCAATCTGAGGGTCGCGGGTTCGAATCCCCTTCCCACCAAGCATGCTCGCCCTTTCAGCCGTGGGGGCATTATAATGTACGGTCAATTCCACTATTCGTTGGTAAAAGAGTAGCCCAAGAGTTGGCGGTGGGTGGTGATGACTAGCTGCCTTCCCTCTAGTCTTACACTGCTAATTTAGGGACGGCTAACGCAGATAGCCCTCGTGTAGCTTTGCGCGAAATTCAAACCAAACAAACAATCTAGCTGGAGTACCCGTCCACTGGACGGAATTTATTCAAATTCATGATTAATGAAAGGTTAACTTGAAGTATAAAAAGTTGCTCCTTTTATACGTAATTGTAAAGAAACTTAAAAACGCCCATAAAATGTGAGACCATAAATTTGCATGTATCTCCGCATGGACCCAATAAGCCTTCATGCAAAGTTTGAAGATCCATCAACAGGGAGCGAAGTAGTGGTAAAAATTGCAAAAACGCCCATAGAAATCGCAAAATTTAAAACTGAAAAGTTCCCGCATGGATTTAATGAACCTCCATACCAATTTTGGTGAAGATCCATCCACACCCTGCGAAGTAGTTACATCGACAGACAACAGACAGTACTATTTTATTTATATAGATTATATTCTTATTCTTGAAAATCCCTAAGACTAGATAAAGAATGTAGTGTTTAGAAATGTATTAGGCCTGATACCAAGTAATGTCTTATGATAAATATTAATTACGTTTATAAGTTTCTGAAACTAAAAAGAGACAACTGTAACGAACGCCCTATATAAAAATTAATAAAAATTATTTTTTAAATCTTGTTGTAAATCCAGTTGAAAACTACTGAAAGTCTTGTAGTACTTAACTTAGAATAGCTAAGATTAAATACAGAATTACCAGCGTAATAACTGTGTGTTGCAAGTAGAACGATGGTTGGAAAATTGATCCCATAGTATTTAGATTAGTTATATTTTTATTGTATTTTATCAATTACATCAGTAAACTGGCTATCCTTTTGGTCTGATCGTAGATGAATGAACGTTGACGTAAATATACTGTTCTTTAAATTTTTTAGGCTAACTCTGCATAGGCCTAAATATAAGATTTCAGAGTGCGGAGGGAGTGGAAGGAATAAGACGAAAACTGGCGTCTGTGAGTTTTAAGATGTTAAGAAAAACGATAGCTCAAAATATAATTGCAAGATGTAGAGTTAGTTATATTTTGATGATATTTTATCCATTACATCATTAAATTTATTCTTCTTTCAAGCCTGTTCATTGGTAAAAAAACAACAAAAAAACAATGACGTAAGTAAACACGTCGTTTTTCCTGTTTTCTTGGCTGACTTTACGTAAGCCTAAATATTAGGCTTGAAAAACAATGAATTGAACGAGAACTAGTGTTTGTAAGTTTTAAGGTGTGGGGAAAAGCGATGTCCCGAACTTTTATCAAATAACATACTTTATTATAGAGTATCTTAAACGTTGTAGATTTACTAGATAGGTTGTTATGAACTACATTATTTTCGAACTTACAAGTTTCATGAAGGCATTTTAATCTTCATTTAGGTACTTCAGTTGTAAGATGGATTTTGGTCTGTTTGCCCCAGTGCATAAGGTAGCCCGAGTCGCCAGGACTTCAACTACAAAGGTTACCCGGGTCACTACTCTTGAACCAGTCTCTTCACCAGTAATTCGTCGGTCGCTGAGCCCGGACTCTTTGAACAACTCATTTAATGAGAAGGTATGTAAAGGGTAAAACGTTTCCTTTTTACAGTTTTAAAAGTAAAAATGTGTTATAAAACATATGTAAGAACGCTGAATTGACGAAAACTGATGTATGCTGCTTCTTCTTTAATATTTATTAAATGTCTACTTTGCTCAGTAGATTACAGTCTTTTTTTCCCTAGGTGGCTCATTTTATTCAATTAGTATATATCATTCTGGGTAGGTGGCGAAACAAGACATGTGCAACATTTTACTTCAGATAAAGTTGAAAATGTTATTAAACCCCAAAAGTAAAATACTGCGAGATTTTAGTATCTGTGGTGATAAAACCTAAAGTTCAAAACTGAGGTCAAGTAGAAATCTAAGTTATACTTAGGTTCGAAACCCGCTCGGATTTGTTTTCTGATGCACCAATTTAAATGGCTACCAAAAGAAAAAGGTGGAATTTCTTAACAAATCAAACTGTCTTCAACAGTCATTCTTAATAATGAAAAACTTTAAAAATCTGGTACGATTATACATCTTACACAGAGCTGTCCCCCTGGTGGCCAGTGACAACGTTTTAACAGGCTCTCGAACATTGGAAAGATCCTTTGGTTAAAATTGTAAATTAAAAATATAACTTATTTGGTGAATTAATGATCTTTTTAAACTGTAAAGGCATTGCTTTTGTTTATTAAATATTTCTATTACAGTGGAGAGAGCATGACTTTAGAATATAAGTCCTCACTGATTTAAAGATGGACATTCGTGATCTGTTATATTTTACGAACTCCAGCTTTTCGCGTTTTAACATCTTTTCTTTAGAGAGCTACACATACACTTACATTTAAAAATTACATTCAAAGGGTGTTTACAAAAGTGACATACTAATATTTCATTCAAAATATACAAGCAACTTACAGAATATGTAAATAAATATTATTTTATTTCACGCAATTTATTGAATTGTGTATTTGTTTTATTTCATTAGATAGATGTTGAGCACAAAGTTACATAATGGACTATCTTTGCTCTATCCACCGCCGAGAATCGAACCGCGGATTTTAGAATTGTAAAAACCTAAACCTATCGCTGGCTCACCGCTTCTTAAGTTGTTGTTATTTTTGTTTTTGTAGTTGTGATTTTCTTTTTTTCTAGTGTGAAAGCTTCTCAGTATATGTTTTTCTACTTCCTGAATTTATATCATTTCAGAGTTTCTGAAACTTTATATTTTATTTTTCAGCTTCTCAAGATTTGAGAAAACCGTACAAAGGAACAAAAAGTTGAACTTCATTTCCAGAGTTCTAATTGGGAGATACGATCTGAAATCTTTACAAAACACCCGAGTTCTTTATAAGAATATTTATAACAAAACACGCCACCGTACTGGAAAATAAACAACTACAAAATGATGATGCGTAAATTAAACTTTTTATCTAATGGATTTAGTAGAATAAAATGGCTTCCTGTTTTAAAGAAGCTTAGTTAGAAATATTACCTAAATTCAGCTAATTTTAATGTTTTTTGCCTCGAAACTGCAAGATTATTAGAAGCTATACGTATTCTTGAAGCCTTATACGTAACACATTTTGTGAATATGACTAATTAACAGTAGTAACTATAACCCTTACTTCACTGCCTTGTGATATATAGTAGCGATACATACATTTAGTACAAACATTTGGAAAAATTTTTAAGCACATTAGGATCAGGTACGTTCCAAGTATCAACGTATCGTGTGCGTGGAATTCTTTATATTTTTTCAATATTTTGTTAGTTTGTTTATTACTTGGTTTCTTGTGTTTGTTTTTAATTTTGGTGTTGGGACTTTTGAAGGTGTCTAGATTTTAAAATGCATAAATTATTGGATATATTAAATGTATCAGTTGTTTCTGTAAGGAAAATTATATATATATATATGTTCGTGTGATTCTTATAACGCAAGATGTTAATGGTAATTGTATTATTGTAATTAATTGTGATAGTTTTAACCAAATACCTTAGCGTGCGTGTGTATATATATATACAGCTTATTGCCCAGACGCTCATCTTTCTAATAACTTGCACAGACGTTGCTAGAAGCCAGATTTGTATAGACTGTGTAGAGTGTGATATGTAATCAATGTTTACGGAATAAAACAAAACTGTAAATAACTTCCACAAATCTTGTTCAAGGTGGTATTGAATTATCTTCTAGAATTTTCTTTTCGTGTGAGCTGTACCTAATTTATTATTGGCCATCGTTTTTCATACTTTTTTTGCATTATTTATTTATTTTTTAGGGGGAAACCTACAAAATAAAATACGTAGGTATTAAAATAATGTTTTGGATCCCTTTTTGTTTCTTGAAATATATATAAATAAATAATAAATAAAGAATAAAATACTGTTCTTCCATTCACTACTAAAAGCAGTGTCAAACCGACCCCGACTCCAGAATGGCTAAAAGAAACAAATTCTCTAGTAAATTTTAAAATATATTTTAAAAACACAACTTTTATACATTATGAATTAAACTTTGCCAACAAATATGTTGAAGACCGACAAAAAATTGACATTATAAGATAAAAAATATGCAAACATATGTTGTAGGCTAGCAACAAAAAATAAACTTTATCTTACTATAATGGACATAGCATGTGTGTTAGTATTTATGTATGTAACCAAAACTACAGAAAAATCTTCAAACATCAACATATTAATGCAGAAATTAAATGTTGATTGTTTAAATTGTGATGAAACACGAGAAGTGGTGATTGAGGCTTATGAAATATAGCGCCATCTATTGAATGTCACCACAAACAAAAATCCATAAAAATATTTCACTATTTGGGTATTCAAGATTCAAACAATTTGGAAAATAGCTATGATATATGTGCAACAACCGTTTCTATATAAAAAAAACAACAACATAATTTTAAATAAAAGTACTCTCCTCACAACAAGAACACGACTTTCACTAGGACTGTATGTGAGGGTTTGATATATGTTTATTAATGTAATTTTTAAACGTATTATCAAAAACTGGAGTACTTTAAAAACTTATTTTTTCAATAAACGATAGTACTTTGAATATATAAAACATTACAGTTTATATCAATATAATTTATGAAAATTTTGAGCTCTGTACATTGAATCATTTTGATGTAATAAGTTGCGTAACACTTTCCCCATGCAGTACTTCCTAGAAAAAAAAACTTTTTTAGAAAATGTTCACTTTTTTTACAGCTTTTTAGAATTAGGTATGAATACTACGATTAGTAATTACTAGCACAAACATCTACCCATAGGGGGCGTTTCTGATTGTACTTTGTAAAGTTACAACAAAAAAATGTATAGAAATATAGCGTACACCAATAGTTAATCCCCCACTTGCCAGGCACGCTGCTAGAGGACGCCACACGTGTATCAGACTCGGGGAAGTGGTGATGTCATCAAAGACTATGACGTCATAATTACACAATTGTCACCAGAGGGTGCGTTAGTTAGGGACGCGTTGTTTTTGTTTGAAGTTAAGCACAAAGCTACGCAATAGGCTATCTGTGCTCTTCCCACCACGGGTATCGAAACCCGGTTTCTAGCGTTGTAAGTTCGTAGACATACCGCTGTGCCACTAGGGGGCGACGTGTTGTTAGACCGCCATGACAGGCGTCCATGAAGTCATAGTTTCACGAAGTGGGACCAGCATAACGTGTCTCAACATGACTATAATTAATAAAGTCGTTTTAAATCAATAATTTATCAGTTAACTAAATTTCCTAATCATTTAAATCGTCCTGAAAAAGGACGATATCGTACAATAATTAAAACTTACTGTTTGACTCTTTATTAATAAATCAAGTGATTAAAGATTTCCAATAAGATAAGAATTTGTGGACACAACATTTCTTTTTTAACATTTTATTAATTTTCTCACAATAAAGATTTTTTCAATCCGATCTACATAAAAAGACACGTCTATTAAGAACGTATTTACGTGAAAACGTTTTACAACAAAACCATGAACAAACATATCATTAATATATTTGTGGGATCCAAATCTAGGCAGGAGTTTTCGTTTCGACACATGTCGACAACGATAATAAGTATAATATATACAATATTGTCCACACACAGATGACTATGGTCATTGCAGTCCACGTTCCACAATTCTTCTTGATAAATTTTCTCACGTTGAGCTTATGTGGAGGTAGTCCTAATGGATCAAAATATTCTCCTTTTTCACTTCGACCAAAATAAATACAGACCCAGTGGCTACCGGATTTATGACTCGGGTCCAGGTTGACGATGTATAATTGTTTTTCTACATGGTCAGGTATTTGATCACTGGCAAATACACCTCCAAATTTTTTTTCGCGTATGTGTTCATAGCTTCTTAGATATCAGTTACGATGTTTCTAGATTGATCAATTTCTAAAATTGGCTGAAATTATGCATATGCTCGAACATATGTTAGTGTCAGGTAAGGCACTACCAAAACATATTTCAATACATAAATTACCCTGGTTCACCATGTTAAAGTGAGAATTTCCAGCAGATTGATCCGGTGTAAGATCAAAGTTAAAGAGTGTATATCCTCCTGATGAGTATTCATCATATCCTACATCAATTCCTTGAGCCTGAAATTGTTTTCCACTTCCACGAAATAATGTTTCGTAGCATCTTGCATATAGTTCTGCATCAAAATCTGGCTGTAAAGGTCGAGTGGGAATCAGTTTTCTGTCCACATTGATTGCCGTGAAATTGATACTGTATTGTTGGAAATTGTATGGATTTTTCTTCCAAGATCCATTAAACGCATCATTATCAATGAATACTATAGCAAGACGTGAAGGTACTTGACCTAAAAAAAGCATTATCAATAGATGCTTGGCGTACTGAAAACGATTTACATGTCAAAGGATATCTAGCTGTTCCTTTCTGAAATGCTTTAGCATGTGACAAAACGACTGATGGGCTGATCTTGACGTTTCTAGCGTAGATATAAACATTTTGCAGTACAAGTTTAAATCCCGATTCATCACCTGACATAATACAAAACGAATCTTTAGTTGGCATGAGTCGGAGTTTTAAACTTACACCATTAGGCAAGAACTTATCCTGTAAAAAAGATATTCGAATGTAGACGACCAATCATGTCAACTGTTTGGTTACCACGTGTATTTATGTATCAGTCATTAAAATCGAGATCGTCAAAACTACTCACTGTGTCTTTTATCCACATGGATGTTGTCAAATGACTTCTCTAAACTTCTCCATTATAACTCAGTAAAGTTTGCATGTAAGCCTTATATGTGTAAAGGTTGGGAGACGAAGAAATGAGTTTATCATTCAGGTGTACATCTACTTGAGAAAATAGAGAATGAAGTAACAAGTTAACAGGTGTAGAAGTATCTTCATCCTTTTTTATATCAGTACCATCAGGCTTGACAATCTTTGTCTTTAAATGAAGATACGATTGGGCTGTGTCTAAATATTCATCTCCTGATCCCGATATAGAAAACTCGATAGGTCCTCTGTTGGTCACTGAAGATAGAGGATTGGCAACTGTTTGGGAGATGTTTTAAGCAACCTATTTCGTTCAGCCATACCTTTTCTGAAAAAAGGGATATTAGCTTTAGAGAAACAGGCAGTTAAATCAGATATAAATTTCGTATCAGATGTCATACAAGGAAAGCCTTTTCTTAATGATGGAAAATGACGAGCAATACAAGGAGTTCAGAATCTGGCTAGAGAAGTTCTACATAATAAAAAGAAAAAAGAGCAAGGTCCAGTGTTCAAAATATCTAAAGCTAAGAGACGAAGAACATCGACTCCAGACTTTTTTGACAACTAATCATGACTCTCCTACCACATGAAAAATCATGTCAGTGTACAAAATCTGAGCTAGACTTTTTTTCTCTCCCTCCCACACAAACATTGACTGAGGAAGAAGAAAGAAAAAAAAGGAATATTGGGAAATGGATTACCATATTTTGCAGGTAGTCAAACCTAGTAATCGTAATATGTGTCATAAACCCACTGGTAATTATTGTAAGGTATTCTCATATATAAATAAAACAGGAAATTTCAGGATGGCCCTCTCACTGTGTTACATCAGAGGCAAAAGAGGAATATATAAAACAGTATGCTGAAAAGGAAGGAGTGCAAATGACCCCTGAAAACATAAAATTTAATCCAGGCAGAAGGTCAGTTCTGAAAAAAGGGGTATTACAGACCTGTATCTAAAAAGAGATTTCAGACTACTGAGATGGATATAAAGGATGACATGGGTCGACATATACCATTTGATATAAAGGATGATATGGATAGACGTATACCATATGAAGATGAGAGAGTCATTACGCTTCACTTCCGTCGTAAAAATCTGTTAATATAATTTTTAAACAGTTGTGTGGATCTTTCAGGGAAATGGTAAATTTCATAAATCTGTATTATCTT